GAATAACACAACATTACCTCAGAATGTTCTACTACAGACTATTAGGAAAGGTAAAAGTCAGATGGAATGTTGTTACTGGATTAATAAGACGAAATATATACAAAACTTAACAAATAAATACTTGTTGTGATTCTTTGTGCTTTATTTTAAAAGCAATTTCGATAACTTAGCTGTAAATTAGCCTTTCTTGAGTTTCTTTAGATATTTTTATTCATCTTTTCTTAGTCTTTTCTGATAGCCCATCAAAATAACTATAACTTTGTTAATTTATTTTCTTAAAAAATCTCCAGTGTTGATTTACTGATTACCATTAATCCATATTCATGGAAAATATGCAAATGTATTTGTGAGTAAAAGGTGAAGGGATTATTTTGTTTTAGCACTTCACATTGATCTTCATGAGTAACACTGGCTAAAATTTCCCTTTCTTATGTCTTTATCAGAATTTGTGTCAAAATTATGCTGTCCTCCTAAAATGTATCTGAAAGTACTATCTTGTTCCCTATTTCTTGAAAGTTTAAACTGGCCATTGTGTCTTAATTGTACTATGAGTTTTCCTAGGAACTCTTATGAACCTATGAATATAGTTTTGTTTGAAAAAATTAAATATGGATCAGTTTGTCATAGGACTACTTAGGCATTTTATTTCATCCGCTTATTTTATAAAGTTGTATTTTTCTAGGACTTTATTTTCTTCAGAGTTGATATTTTTCTCATGCTGTTGTTTTTCACAATATCTTCATAATCCTTTTTATATTTGAAAAGATACATGTGAATACACTATTTCCATTTCTGATATTGGCAATTGGGCATAATCTTTTCTTGCATTTATTTTCTCAGGTGTTTATTATTCATGTTAACATTTGTTTCACCAGAAGTTTAATAGTTTTGTTTCATCTAACAGTTATTGTTCTTCCCAAAGAAATAACATTTAATTTTGTTGACCCTTGCCTTTTATATAGGTTTTCTATTTCATTAATTTCTTATTTTCTATACTTGAAGAAACAATGTGGTTAACAACATCAAGAATAAACTTCATGCCTGCATCAAAGTCCTATATCAGCACAGGACCCTTGTCTATATTATTATTTACATTCTCCTACTGTGTCATTGGTTTCTTTTACTTCTTTTACTGAAAATATTATTTACAAAGACTTGTTGAACAAATTTTAGCAAGTCTGAACATCCTCCAGTGACTAAATTTAAATCTTTTTTAGCCATTAATTTATGATTAGTAGTAAGTTAAATGTTTACCTAATGTCTATTGTTCAATTAACTAATGTTACTCGTGATCTCTGAAGTTAGCACTACTTTTATTAGTTCAATATCATATCAACAGCAAATAATTATGTTAATTTCCTAAAATGACACCTTAGTAACAGAATTTGGGACAAATAATATAAAGTTTGAGGGAAGTTGTCTCTAAAACTGCCAAACATAGGCTTAAATAAAAAGGCAAATATTTTCAAGATTGAGGAAATAAAAACTCTTTCTTATTGCTTCCACATTCTAGAGGAAAAAATGTACTCTTTAGAGCACTTCACCCTTCAGAATGTTTAAACACATGTATCAGTGTGAATTTTAACTGGATTCCTGTTTTATAATCATTCATTTTTATGCATACTTTCACTAATTCATAGTTAACAGAGTTCTTTAATTCAAAATTTGACATGTACCTAGTTTTGTTGAAATTTTACCAAGTGGCTGCTTGTAGAAAGAGATGTCTTTTTACTTGGAATTAATTATTCAAAGAATAAGATCTTGATTTTGATGGTTATTTGATTTAATTCTTAAACCACACAGTGGTTTCCTAAACATTTTACCAATGAAAGGCAAAAAACATTTTGCAAGTTCACACAAAGAAAAGCAGAATAGCATTAGGACTCACTAAGGTGTCACTGGCCTGACAGTGAAATATGTACCTGAAGTTTTATTTTTATATAGGCATTTTTGGGGAACAACCATTCTATCTTTTTCTGTATCTTTTTATATGTCATTATAAAATTTCTCTGGTTTTTATTTATAAGGATGAAGCTTAATGCTATTTATTGCAAAAGACATGGCCCAAATATACTCATTGGTTTACCTGAATGCATGTCCTTACTTGCTAAGCACAATGTGGTTGTTATTTAAAAACAAACTTGATAAATATGAAAAATGATTGAAGATAAAGAAGGCAAAAAGAGAAAAGCAAATCATTAGTTTTTCAAAGTGTCATCTAAATACAAAAAAATGAAACTGGTAAAGGTGATAAGGGTATAATAGAAAGATATGTGACACTCATATGACAGAAAAGTGTTATTAAGACACTTCACATATATTTGCTAGTGTCCCTTCAGCTAAGTATGCTTTGCATTATTTTAAATTTATTATTATTGTCTGAAAATTGCCTGCTTCAGGCTAAACTGTACTTGGAAAAACTTTCATTGTTTATTAGATTTACAGAGATTATTTTTGTACTATTCATAACACATTATTGCAACATCATTATAAGTCAGAGTCCACAAAACTTCCTGAGGTAATGGGACACTTTTTTTGTGTTTTCCAATTCATATGTCCCCAGCCACATGCAGCTCTTGACCTCCTGGAATGTGTTTAATTTGACCGATGAACCACAATCTCATTATATATAGTTTTAATTAATTTAAATTTTATATTAAATAACCATATGTAGCTAGTGACTATCATAGTATACAAACACTACATTTATGAGTTAGAGTATGTAGAATAGAACAACAAATAATCATTATTTTAGTGTTTGCTGTTGCTATACACATTATTTTATGCTTAAAGTATATTTTGGGAAATGGCCTAGTTACATGAATCCAGTTAATAATAAGATGCTGTCATAAATATCTGTACATTAAGACCCCCAAGAATATCCCTGCAATACTCATTGGGATCATTAATCTGATATCAACTGCTTAAAAAAATCATTTCCAACAAATTCTATGCAGGGGTAAAAATCCAGATGTTTTCATTATTTAAAGTTGAGTTAGGTACATTGTGAATTCTGTGTCCTGTTTGTTGTCCTTTCTTTCTACTTTCCCTCATCTTAAAATCACAATGGTGAAAATATGGACTTACCCGAAAAGTATGCAGCAGAGCAGAAGAGATGTAAAGAAAAATCGTTTATTTCTAAATCCCACATTAAATTAGGAAAACTAAACATGGATACTTACCTATTCTACTCATTGGATTCAAAATGTTCTGTTCCTTTAATTTTATGTGTCATATGTATTTTTATGACCTCACGAAATGTTGCATTGGAATATTTTAGAGTACATATAGCATAACTTGCACCTGATGATAATGTTAAATACTCTTAAAGGCACTCTCACTTCCACTCTGTTGATTGTCTGTCATTATTCAAATTCTGGAGCTCTCTATATGTCCTGAGTTCTCTTAGTGTCCCTGCAAAATGGCAAGTTTAGGTTGAATAATCATTTTCATTTTTGATTTTATAAAAGTTAAATTTTTCTCACATTTTTATGTAGTTGCTGTGGCTCCTTTACTGAGTCCATACCTCAGTTTTTAACTCAATGCTTTTTAAAGATTACTGTATGCTTAGGGGAAGATATTGAGTGGATATGGATGACAGTTTTCAGCAAGATTAAGTGAAACTTCCAGAAATGCTTATGTCCCACAATGCCAGGGTCCAGACAGAAATAAAACCAAACCAAACCAAACCAAACAAAAAACCAAAAAAAAAAAACCACTACTACTGATCTTCTCTTGTATTATTTTTTTAGAATCAGCAATTTTATTGTTATAAAAGTAGCAATATAAAAAAGATTAACATAAAGTAAAACAATATTATTTTTGGCTAACGTTTTTACCTTAAAGAGAATAAAAAATTTTTTAAAACATTAAAAGCAGTACAGATTTTCAAAAAAAATGACAGGAAATCAACCATGACTGTTATATTGCATATTGTTATCTTCAAAGTAGGTGTTCCAATTACCAGATATAGGCATACAAGATTGATCAAAAAAATTAAACATTAACTGTTCCTTTCAATAAACCAATATTACTAAGTAAAACAATATTATGGTTAGTGGTGTTCAAAAAATTAACTCAGGTAAACTTTCAGGTTGATTTATTGCAAGGTTAATTAAGAGTGATATTTCTAGGCAAGCCTAAGCTCTCATGAAGTGATACTGAGACTTGCACTGTGTGCAACTTCATTCTTCCTAACTCTAGTTTTCTTCCAGTACCTACCCCACTAACTTTTCCATGTGCTCCACGGGCCTGTTTTCAACCCCAGCAATAGCGTGAAGGCTCAGTCAGTCATGGTGGCCTCTTTACCTCTGAAGTGACTGGCTTAGCATGAGCACCATGCCTCACCTGGCCAACAAGAGCAATGAGTCCCTGGAAGTGCATGCTGCGAGAATTTCCTGGGAAGTAAAACACGACAGGCAGATAGATGCGGACTGTTCCCCGTCTCTAAGCTTTATTGTTAAAACAATAGTGCTGCATCTTACATGGTCATCATCTAATCTATAGAGGAACTAACTTCCAAGTGTAGTGTGGGCAAGGAGGCCTCTGAACACCCAAAGTTCTTGCTGAGGTCCTGGAAATATTACAATAACCCAAGAGGTGTACATTTCTTCACTTACTGATTTGTAGAATGATTGGTACATTATTTAAGCTGTTCAAATAGAGATTTTCCAATTTCTTTTACCCAGTGCTGCTTAACTTTTATTTTAGCATTATTTTAAATGTATATGAGTCTTAAAATAATTATTTGAGAACATGTAAGTATTGGACCATTTGTCACATATTTTTCAAAATGCAGAAGTAGCTTTTACTTTGAGTATATTGATTAGGGTTACTACGATTTGTGCAGTCTTGCTAGTCTACATAGCAAGTGTGTTTACCTTTGTGTCAAATTATATTGAAAAGAAATAAGCATTTTAAAACATCTTTTTATTCAGGATTTAAAATAATTATATTTATCACTTTAAGAAATAATCAGCCCCAAATCAAAGGAAAACAAATTAATTAAGAAGAATATTTTATTAAAGCATTCATATGAAGATAAGGTATTGATTCTCATTCTATGAAAACATTTAATATATTTGGTAAGAAAAAAAATTTGGAAACGTAATTATTGTCAACTAGCATTTTGATCTTTTTCTTCTTTCACTGTTGTATACGTTGGCTTAGAGAATGGAATTTTCTAATGGTTCTAGTGGAATTTTCATGTTGGTTCCAACTTGATCTTGATTCTACTGTTTGGGAGGACGAGACATAGACTCCACGTTTGCTGATGGTATGCCATAAAATGGATTTGAGAAGGAGTATACAGAACTCTAGAGAAGAAATACATATTTAAAGATTAGGATTTGGGGCATTAAAATAACAATCATCTGTAAGGATTATGCTGAATGCAGCAAGTTCCTAATTGATTTCCATTGTAGGAAAGCTAGCGCATCCCCAGGTCCAGCATCTCTAGCATATCTTGCAGGTCTTCTGACACAGGGATGCTCTATACGTGATCCCAGCATCCTCTGGACCAGGGTGCCACTATGTCATTTTTACTGTTAGTAGGATTCAGGAATGCAGTGGCTGATATAGTAGGACATAAAACTACTATATAAAACTACTTCTTTATTTTGGTGGTGGTTTCACTAAGCCTGCTATATTGAATAAAGTTAGGTTTAACTGAATATAACAAAAGCACACACAAAAAAACTTCTCAGCTTTAAATTAGTGGAATTATTGATAACAGCCTGGGTTAGAAAGTTGAAAATACAGAAAGTTCTAGGGGACCCACTGGTTTCTTCAAGAAATAATTAGCAAGAGAATAAATAACAGAAAATGGAACCTAGAGATGAACAGAGATATGCCAAGGGTATCTATCAATTTGGGTGCATATACTTTAAATAGATACTGACTTAAAAATATATTAACAGCTACTTATTATGTGAGAGAATGGGGTAGGTCAATACAGAATAGATGGTGATATCAAGAAATCATTATTAAATGTTCAGGTATGATGCTGTGGTTACATTTTTAAAAAATCCTTGTTACTTAAAGTTGGAATTTTTAGATATGAAATTAAATGATGTGATAGACATGCTTAATTGTATGTACTTGATCACCGTGGTGGCCACCTGGGGGATTAGTAAAGCAGGCTTCCGGCTGAGTCTGGGTGGGTCATGGGGCCCTGAGCTTGGGTCCTGTATCTGGTCCGTGGCCATTTCCTTTCTGGCACTGTTTTATGGCTCTGCTTCCCAGTTACCAGGAACTAAGGAGCTTTGCTTTGCCACCTCTTTCCATGATCACATTCCTGCCTAGAAGCAAGCTGGTCATCAAACTGCTGAAACCAAAGTCAACATTGCTCAAGTCGTGAGCCGAATCAACCTCCTCTTCACTGATCTGTGGGTGTCAGGTATTTTGGCCCAGCAATGGAAAAGCTCATACAAAAGATATCTGGCATTTACTTCAATCTTCTCCAGTAGTTTGAGAGAACAGTTGAAAAATAGTAGTGAAATAAGACAGTTGAGGGTTGATAGTGACAAGGCCAGTCCTTTCTTTACTCTATCCTCTCAATATCTAGAGCAGAATATGAACTACCTGTCAGAGTTCTTAGAATAACATTGGAAGTTTACTTTTCTGTTCTAATATCAATAAAAATAGACTTAATTTAATTGATATAAAGACTTTTTTCCAACACAATTGAAATCAAAACAACAACAAAGGTCAGTATCTGTCACAGGATTTCTGCTTCAGTCAATGAAAGAAAAAAGGCATTTGAAGAAGGAATAATTTTCTTTTGCCAGAATGGAAATAAATAAATAAAAAGAAATCACTTTGAAGTTACTCTAAAATCATCAATTGTAACCGATGTATGTAAATACAAAATGCTTGGAACCAAGTTGAAAGTGGGTCTTTGGGGTAGATCTTCTCTGTTCATGATGAGAACCAAAGGTCTGAAGTCCAGGGAACTTTATTCCCAGTAGAAAATAAAGATTGCATAACAACTTACTAGCCACTTTTTAATTACTGCAAACTTATAAGATATTAATGTAAATAACTCAATCTAAAATGCTTCACTGTAATTGTTTATATCACTTTTATCTATAGATATTAAAGAGTAATGCAAGGTTGTGCTAAAAAAAGATTTTCTTTTCCTTGATAAAAATGAAAACAGGTTTATATTATGCCTTCCTGCTTAGTTTCTTAGATAGTGTTTGTATTCATTATCCACTAGGTAAGGCTGCATTTTTGCTTTTATTGTCTTAATTGACTTGATAAGTAATTGAAATTCATTCTCTTGTGTTTACAGAAATATATCTCCTTTCTCATTTCTACTAAAAACATGCTAAAGCTGTGCATCATGTCATAGTTGAAGAAAACATGGAAATAAAAAAACCAAGAATTATATTAGACTCCAGCCACATTATCAAAGGCTCTAAAGCTACAAGAAACCATCTAACATGACACCTTGATGGTGTTACATATTTCAATAAAAACAACAAAATAAGAAACTTTATGTGGCCTAATAAAGAGAAAAAATAAAGCTTGCTTTCTGTATATCCTATTTTATATGAGAATAAATCTAATATAATGTTTCTAAACTGAGATATAAGGAAACTTTCTCGATAGGACCCAGTGTGTCAAGATTAAACTTACTTCCCATCTGATGAATGTTCATATTATTTCTCTAGGAATGGGATGAGCTGTTCCCGAAAGGGTGTAAAGTTGCTGATACATAACATGGATAAGATCTGGGAAGCTTGTGTACAGCAGGATGATTATGGTTAATAATACTGCATTGTATAGTGGGTATTTGCTAAGAAAGTATATTTAAGAGAGTGTGAGATCTCACACATGTGAATGGGAAGGGAGCAAGATGATGGGTATGTTAATTAGCTTGATTATGGTTATAATTTCTCTTATCTCCCTCTCTGTGTAACCACGTATCACTTAAAAGTATCCAACTTTCACTTGTCAATATATCTCAATAGGCCTGCAAAATGAGGTAAACAATGAAAGAAAGTAACAAATTTTGCTTGACATTTTCTCTTGAAGTGTTACTTCATTCCCCTCGGAGGGCCGAGAAATATGGAAGGTATTTTCATTTCTCTTTTCCTTGTCTTTGTTATTAGGTAAGGATCCTGACTATTCACACTTAACTTTAAAGAGAATACACAATTCTCTACTTTCTTTAGTCTTCTGAGAATAAAACTTGAACACTGGATGAATATTTACTGTAAGTAGCTAATCCTCTGTGGGTTAAACTGCTATTTCCCAAATTTTTTCAGCTCTGAATAGGAACAGTTACCACAAAGCCATTTAACAGTGAATGGATTTTAAAAGCAGGTCAAAACTGTCATGAAATGGAAAATTCTTGTTGCACATTTGTGGAGACTCAAATTCTATTCTACTCCCAAATGAAATCACCCCATTAAGAAATTTTTCTTAGCCACAATATTGAAACATGCCCAAATAAAACTAGTTCAGGGTTAGCGTGTGTGTGTGTGGGGGGGGGTGTGGTTAAGTGTGTGATTATGCTTTTTCAATAACATTGCTCATGATTACCACTTACCTCTATTTTCTCTGGATTTTTCCAATTACCATACACTGGATTGACAAAGGCACAGTTCCCACTTTTCTCAGTTTTCCTGAAAACACACAGGGGCACCACAAAAAATAGGTAATAGGTAAGTATTGAAGTGCAGGTTGGTGATAGGTAGAAACTTTTGAGAAGCACACTGTATAGCCAGCATACTTATTTTCATGTGCGTATTGTCATAATTTGGGGGAAAGTACATCAAGACGACTACATTATTGAAAGCAAATGTAATTTGATTCTTGAATATTTAGATCCAAATAAACTCTCAAGCTACTTTTATTTCTGCATGGTCAAGGGTATGGCTTCCATTCTTGGGAATCCGTGGATTGTTATGTTTGACTCTTAATGTCAAACCTACCTATAAAGTAAAATATTACACATCAATTATAGCTACTTCTACTAAGCAAATTTCTCATTTTACTCCATCTATTTGCTATTTTAAATCATGATGCTGATTTTCCTCTTCATCTATCATCTGTTTGGCATTCCAATAAAAACAAATTTACTTAAAATATGAAGGCAACAATATACATATCTGAATATGAAGTTTTGAGCCAATTCTAACAGTCATAAAATAACAAGTCCTCACCAGGCAAACAATGCAATGTGTAACTTATTGTATCTGTCAACAGGCAGATGGTTTTTATGGGTTGAGGTTCCAAAGAACATAATCACCTCTGGAAATGAACAAGGGATTGACTTAGAAATGCTGAACAGAGGACAGGAAGTTGCATGGGTCACACTAATTTTCCTCTTGGAACTTCTCAAGTGTTCACCGAAATTATTATTAAGCTCCTCCTACACATACTGCAAGCAGACCACTGTAAAATCTGCTCCTCCTACTTATACTACAAGCAGACATATAAAACATATGTCAGTATAGAATTATGATAATTCTGATACAAATTTCTAATTTCACTTCAGTGAGCACATGTGTATCTCAAAAAAGAATTCACTTTATGAAATTTTTCACTCCTTACTGACAAAATTGAAAGCTGTTGAAAGATCTATTTTGTTTTCATAAAAATGGTTATTTAAGAAATTTTACAGTGACTGCTTTCAATCTGCAGATTACTTTAACTCGTATCAACATTTTTACAATAATAGGCTTCTTACCATTTCCACAATAATGTCCTTTCCATGAACTCAGGACAGAGTTCCATTTAGTTAGGTCTTTTCTAAGGATACTAATATTTCACTCCTTACCTAAATTTATTCCTAGGTATTTTATTTCATTTTATTCTGTTAGATAATGTTCTCTATTAACACTCTTCCCTTTTTCCAGCACTGAGGATTAAATATCAAATCTTCTAACTGAGCTACATTCTTAGTCCTTTAAAAATTTTTTTATTTTCAGACAAGGTCTAATCTTGCCCCAGGTCAGGTCAACCTAACAATCCTCCTGCTTCATCCTCCCAGACTGCAAAACTGATTTTTGTGGGTTGATCTTGCATCTTGTAACTTAACTGAATTCATTTATCAGCTCTGTCACTTTCCTGTGGATTTGAGACTTTTTTTTATATATATGTGCATGTCATTTGTAAGTAGTGTTTTATTTCTTCCTCTCTGTTTTAAATGTATTTTATTTCTTTTATTCAACTGTTCTGATTAAGGTTTATTTTTCATAAACATATTTATTTCTGGCTTAGTAAAACTATAAAACTAACCCTAATATAAAACTAAATTCTAATGATAATGTATGGAGAAAATTATTATGGCAACCTTTGGAGTTTTAGAGTCTGATTGCCACTTAAGGTGACCACTGTTAGACCGAGTCAGAGAGTAAATCTTTCTCTCAGTGGGAAGGAACTCAGAGGTGGTACAAGCACCTCTATCACTCAGGGTTTAAGACTGGCTCTCATGAGTGTGATGAGGAAAGAGCGACAGGGCAATGGGTAGGTTGCTCCTTTTGCCAGGTTTACACTTGAAAATAAATTTCCTTATATATCTTGGAAACTTACAATCAATACTTTAAATCTGCTTTTATATTTGTTGTAGTACCTTTATTACTTAATTAATTGATAACTAATAACATCTCTCATTTACTTACTAAATTGTTTGCAATGTCTGGTTATTAATGTGCAGGTTTAATTTTATATTAAGAATAGACATGGTGTTTTCTAATTTGCTAGTCTGTCCATTTGTGTGTCTGACAAACTGGTTAGGCTGCTTAGCAAATCGACTGAATACTTATTCTCCTCCACTTCCCTCTCCTGAGAGTAAAATTGTCACAGTATGTTCATATTGTAAAAATAAGCTTAGAAATGATTTAGAGAAAAGTTTTAGAAAACTTAGATAAAACTTTAAAAGTAGAAAGGAATAAAAGTTTGAGAGGACCATGGACAGTGACTCCTATTATGTCTATGTGCATTATGTTATAAAACTTTACTGTAAAAACTTGTTCAAGGGTCAGGTACATAGCTCAATGACACAGCACCTGTCTGTCAAATGCAAGGTCCTCAGTTCAATTCCTAGTACAAAATAAAACTTGTTCATTAATGAAAGTGTACCTCCATTGTAGAGCACTTCTTACCTTTGTTATGTTCAAAGCCCTGGCTTTGATTCTTCACACCAGTATCAATCAATCAAACAATAAATCAATCAGTCCCTACCCACTTAAAGTATGGACAGCAATGTATTCTAAAATTGGAATAACTGTACTGCACATATCAACAGGCTCTGAAGTGATAAACAGTTATTTATTCATCAAAGGATGTTTTTGTGCATATGAGTGTGGGGACTTTGCTCTCACACTTCCGCTAATGAGCTAATTTCTATATACAGCTTCCAAGGTGCCCGCCAGTATTTGAAGATTGCAGACGTGATTACTGTGAGCTAAATGGTTGATGATATTACAACGTGGTCACTGGCTCTTTAAAATTGCCCTAATTCTTCTTTCAAGACTTTCCTCCTCCCTCCCTCCCTCCCTCCCTCCGTCCCATCTCTTAGTTCTCTTCTGTCTTGCACAAGATCTATCTCTCCATTTCCTATTATTTAAATTTTACTTTGCTTTGTAATTATACTCTGGGTTTCTCATACAAACTATCTGACATTTAAGCTGAACTGTCTGATTTATTTCACTTAACATTATGATCTCAAGGTGCATTCATTTTGCTACAGTTTACTCGGATTTAGCTTTTAATCTTCCCATTTCTTTCTCTTGGCCCCAGAGTGTGGGATTAATGAAGGCACACCAAGATAAGGAAAAAATAGGGAGGTATAAAAACTAATACTTTAATTTTTAAAAGCAGATTATTAATTTAGAGCTTGAAAGGATCTTTGTGGTCAACTTGTCCATCCCTTTTCTTATGCAGATGGGACAACTGAGAGACTCTCCCACTAGACTAAAAGCTTCTGGAGGATAAGGGCCATATCTACTTTGCCCATTTCACTAGTCTAGTACTTTGTCCAGTAGGAGGAATACAGGGAGAGTCAAATTAAATTATAAAATACAGTCAATTCCCTGATGAAAATGAAATTTACTTATTCTAAATCTCATGTTTATTATATTATGTTGGATTTAGTTTGATTAATGTTGAATCTAGATGAATCAGAGAAGTAAATCTCATTTCTGCTCTCCTCATTTCTACGTCTGTCATCTTGAACTCCTCAATTAAATTTACCCAAATATTTCTAGTCCAGAGACTAAGGAGCACGATTCTTTTTTCAAATTAAGTTTTTGGGTAAAATTTAGATATACATAATCATCATTTTCATTATACGGAATGAAATATCTCCCTGTACATGATATATCTTGATTCCTGTTTTCTCACTCACCTCCCCTCCATTCAACCCTTCTTCTGCTCCTTATCTACAAAAGCTTTGCTTCCATTTTATCCTTTTTTCCTCATTTTTTTCTTTTTCCTTCTTTCCTTCCCCTTCCTTCCTTTACATTTGAACAACTTCTTCCTAATTCACAATATCTACTGTACATTTTAGTCCATATTTATACTTTCAGTTTTTTACACCACAGAGTCAATGAGATATTTGCACATGTGCATCTGATTTATTTCACTTAAGAGTATGGTCTCAAGGTGCATTCATTTAGCTAGAAATGTGTGCTTTATCCTTACCTGTGGCTAGGTAGTACTCCACTGTATAAAATAAACCACATTTTTCATATCCATTCATCCATTAATAGGCATTTGCCCTATCTCCAAGATTTAGCTATTATAAACTATGCTGCTATAAAAATGTGTGCATATATTGCTGCAGTACGATGTTTTTAATTCTTTTGGGAAAATACCAAGAAGGAGAATAGCTGGATCAATGGGACAAGTAATCCTAGTGTTCTGAGGAATCTCCACACTGATTTCCACAGTGACTGCACCAGTTTACAATCACAGTGTGAAGAAGGGTTCCATTTTCCCAACAGCCACTCCAGCATTTGTTATTGGTTGATTTCTTGATAATAGCCATTCTTTCTGGAGTGGCATAATTTCTCAGCTTTTTTTTTTTAACTTGTATCTATTTAGTGACAAGTAATACTGAACATTTTTTTCCATATATTTATTTGCTTTTTGTACTTATTCATTTCAGAAGCCCATTATTGGATTAGATCTTTAAATTATGGAGGTCTGACTTCTTTTCAGATGTTTATATATTTCAGATATTAGTCCTTTGGTTGAGGAACAACTGTCAAAACTTTTTCCCAGTCTGTGGGTTGTCTCTTCATACTGTTGGTAATTTCTTTTGCTGTGCAAAAGCTTTTTAATAAAATATCAGTTATTGATTACTTGTATTATTTTCTATGTCACTGGAATTTGTTCATGAAGTCTTTGCCTATACCTATGTTTCCAAGAGTTTGAACTATTCTATCTTCCACCAGATTTAGTGTTTCTGTTTTAATATTTAGATCTTGGATCCGTTTTGATTTCAGTGAATGGTGAGACACATGGTTCTAGACTTAGTCTTCTTCAAGTGGAAAGCCATTTTTTCTAGCACCATTTATTACAGAAGCTTTCTTCCAAGTCCATTTATTCATAGATTTGGTTCAGTTCTGATACTTCTTTGTTTATTTTTTGTCTAATTGGTCTATTTGTGACAGTG